TATATATATATATATATACACATACACACACACACATATATATATACATACATACATACATACACTACACACTGCTCTTTATTCCATACGGCAAAAAAACAAGGGAAAGTCAGTTGCAAATACGCCATTCTCCAAGAGTTTGGAGGCTACTATACCTTACTGCACTGCTATTTAACATAATAAATGATAATGCAGATGTTCCTCGGGTTGCGATTGATCGAATTCCGATCTTTCGCATTTACGATGGAGATGACTGTACAGTGAACTCCCAGTTATTTGGCACCCACAGTATCGGTAGGTGTTGGATAACTGTAGTTTCAGGTTGCTTGAGAGTTAATAGTAACTCAAGCAACCAACCCCGAGGTGCTCCGCTTCCCCCCACTGTAAACAGCTGGGATCAATAGCATTACTGCTATTGGCTTTTTCTAATTGCACTAGCCAATAGCAGGCTGGCTATTGCACCCACCCCTGAGCAGAGGAGCAGACCTGAGAGAGAACTTTCTCTGTCAGGTCCACTCCCCCGCTTAGTGGGTGGTGTTTCAATAGCCAATAGCCCATTGCAGTCTGGCTATTGCTCTCCATTGTGTACTGTCTGCTGCCGACCGCGGCAGTACAGTACACTACAGTACACTCCTGGGTTTACGATACAATCGGGTTACGATGGGTTTACCAGAACATAACCCCATCATAAACCGAGGAGTGTCTGTAATCAATTCCCTTACTGGAATGTCAGTAACAAACATCATCAATTGAGTGTTATTGCTTTCAAAATCCTATTTAATACCACATCATGGGGAAAACAAGCATTATTGTCCATGTCAGTTATATTGTACACAGGATGCATAACTACTAAATACCAGATCATATATTTTTCTTGTAGATGAAAAGTATTATGAAACAAGTTACCCAGCTCCATAATTGGGAAAGATTTCCTCAGTGCAGAGAGCATCAGAATTCAACCGATTAAGCAAATCTTTAAGGGCAACAAGTGCCTCAGCATCCACCAGCCCTCCAGCAACAGCTGCTACATCTTTTCCCTGGACACATTGCAACTAAGGAAAAATAGTTAGGTCATGTTAAAACAATTGCATGGAAACATGCAAGAACAAAACAAAGCAAAACACAATACTTTACTTAAAGCAGAACTATGAGGTGAGTGAAAATCACTCATCCACATAGTTCAAGCCTATGTATGACAATTAAACGGTCACATGTCGGCTCAATAGATCGGGAAGTGAGCGAACACATACTGGTGCTCGATCAGCTCTCTGCAGAGATCCGTGACCCAGGACAGGACAGGGGGCGGGTACAGCTGGCTCTGCCTCTAGATAGGCAGAGCCCGCTGTCACTCACACAGCTGGGTGGATCTCAACAGCATTGTCGGGATCCTTCCTGGCTGCGGCGGTCTCAGTATACCGCGAGCTGTAGCTCGTGATTTACTGAGCTTTGGATCACAGGAGGACGCTAATACATGTCCTCCCGTGACCCTTAAGAGAACTATGGGGAAAAACACAGACCCCATAGTTCTCTTTAAAATAATTGTGTACACCATACTCCTTCCTTTCTCCTTTTCTATTCTGTATATGTATATTTTGTATATTGAAAACGCTAAAGAATAAAAAACAACAAACACACATGATGCCATTATTCTTTTGTCATGAATAACTCTCTGTGACATTTAAATGGACAACACATTACAGCAGATACAGAGGAAAACAAAATATTTTGAAGAAATTTACTATAACTTCTTATCTTTTTTTCTTTAAAGGCATGTTCACACTAGAGCATTGCAGTAATACCGCATGCAGGCATTGTGCAATGTAGTGCCATTCATTTTAAATGTGTTCTTTAATGCAACATACAGTGACATTCCTCAATGCACAAAAACACATGTTGTGGCAAAGTACGTCCTAGTGTGAATGGACACTACAGAAAATCAACCATGAGAGAAATCTAGAGGCGTATAATGGTGAGGGCTTTTTAAGCGCTAATTGACTGGCAATTATGCAAGGATCTTCATTCAGTACTTTAAATTGCTGAGCAAGCATGAAGATCATAGGATTTTTTTTTTTACTCTTTCCATTTATACTGCCACCCTCAGAAGGACTGAACACTGGCAAACAAAAAAAATGTAGGCCAGCCCAGGCTATCCTTTGCTACTATCAGCATGCCTCAGTGTCCTAGGAGGATGAACATAAGGCAATCTTGTAACAAGTTAGCTGCAGATCACTTTCCAGGTCCAGAGCCATTGGCATTGCCTCAGCACTTGTCTTCCCTCTGAAGACTTACTCCGTAAGTAGGCCGGTTGGGCCAGTTACCGGGAGCTAACTCATTTACAGCTTTCCAATGGTTTCCACCACAGTGTCAGGAACGAACACCACTCCGAATCCCGAGACCATGGCGGGGCCGGCCCCGCCAGCAGCGTCTCGTTGCCGGGCGACGGGCGGGCTGTCCTCAGCACTCCACTCCTCCCCCCGCACGTCAGCTGAGGCGGCATGATGACGCGGCGGGCCCGGCCCAGCAGCGTCTCTCTCTTCTCCTTCCCCCGCACGTCAGCTGAGGCGGCATGATGACGCGGCGGGCCCGGCCCAGCAGCGTCCCGTTGCTAGGAGACACTTGGGTCGGGTCTCGCCTACGACTCCGCCCCCAAACACCGATCTCCGTCTACAAAAACGTAGGCTGACCACTTGCTCGGCGTTCTAGCAAAGTAGTACGTCAAGCAAGCTACTTAGGACCTGCATAGGACATACTGGGACAGCTTGTACCCCTACTCACTCTTGGAGCCTTGGCAACGATCAGATCTAAGAGCACCTCCTCTTACTGGGACTCTCAACTAAAACAGCAAGTAGCCATTAGCACATGTCATGCAAACCATAGCTGTGTTGATGCTGGTACTGTGGTGGGAACTTCCACCATCCTACCTACTCTCTCCAAATTCTACTGCTGCATAGGACTCTTATATGATGCTAACATATTGTACTATCATTGCTCAGGATTAGTGACGCTAACCAATCCTTGCGTATTACCCTTGCCATAACCGCACTTATGTCTGTCAAACCATAAGTACTACTCTGGAGTTGCAGGTATTTATTGGTGCTAGTGAAGTGAACTAGTGTATTCTAAGTATAAACCTCAACAGGCCCCAATGCTATTTAATTGTGGTCTGTGGAAAGTAACCTGCTTCTACTAGTTAATTGCTAAACTGATGGTGTATGATGTGATAGGGGTTCCGACTTCACTCACTAGATTAAAGTGTGACTGTGAACCCTCCACCTGAACCATCCTCACTTACCTCTGCAGTTGTGATGCTTCAAACCCCACTGAGCTTGCATGGATCATTACACACCGAACTGTGGGACTGAGTGTTGATGCAATTTACTGGGTGGCGTGTCACACGTGCTCTCCACTCTCTCTTTTCCACCATACTGCTTCGAGGAAAGCATTTGCCCTCTGGTGGCAAAGAGCCATGTGGAACTCTGATCTTCAGTCTGTTCCTGCCTACAGTGACTTTGCTCACTTTTAGCCATCTGACCCTCATCTGCTACCAGCCGTTTGGGTTTCTTAAGTACCTTAGGTCTTGCGTGAGCTTAGAGCCCATCAGAGTCCTCTTTAACTCCATAGGGTGTGGCTACCTCCTCTGTCCTTTTGGCTGAGGTTTTCACTACAGTCATGAATGACTTTATAGCCCAAATCACCCAGTTATTTGCCGACTTGTACCCCAGAGGCCACAAGCACACTTCCTCACCTTCCCTGCAGATTCTGTATCTGGTCTGCTCCCAGCGTTAGTGGCTTCTAAGCCATAAGCTGCAGAGATTCTGTCTGATTCCGAGTTTATCCATTCTTTGCTAGACAACCTTATCCTGGGAGGAGTCGCAGTCTTTTACACTTACACCCAAATTTAAAGAGACCATTGTGGCTCTTATCAATGCAGTGCGCTCCACCCTGAAACTAAACAATCAGCCTTTTTCTTCTACCAGTGCTGTTTCTAGTCTTGGGTCATTTAGAGCACCCAGGCTAAGTTTAGGGGCAGAGATATAAGGAGTAATACTCGCCTTACTCCAGCAGGCTCCCTCAACTAGTACAAATGGTCCAGAGAAGGCTTTGCGTTAAGGCACTCCCAGATGTGGTTGCATGCCTGCCTCCTCCACTACTAGCCCTGCATTGTACTTGATGACACTGAGGGAGTACCCACATCTACGAGCGTCAGCGAGAAGAGTGACAAAGTGGGGGTAAAGGCAAGTACTACAGCATCTTCATCTTCCCCTAGACGTGGCAAGCATTTAACCCTTGCAGTGCATGGAGGGCCCATTGCAGGGTTTTTTTACTTCAGAGTTGGCCTTTAAGTTATGCTATATTAACCCTTTCGCTGCCAAGGACGTATGGCATACGGACCTACAAAAGTGCTTCCAGCTGGCCAGGTCAGTATGCCATACGGACCTGGCATTTACAGTTCTACTATTTTAGTATCACCATCTTTTTATTCTACCGGGCCTGCGCTTTCAGAAAATATATGGTTTGGGGGGTCTTTTACAAACGCTAGCAACGCAGCAGTTGAAAATCAAATCAATAGGAAAAAATTGCAGAAAATTCAAAAATGATTTGAAAAATGTTCGAGGGCTTGGCAGCAAAAGGGTTAATAGGAACATGTGACAAATATGAAGTAGGTGTTATCACAATTTGGCTGCAAAAATGAAAATCTGCTTTAAGTACTTGAGGGTGGAAGCTTTCAAATTGAAAAAAAAAAAATCCTTACCACACCAGCCACGCGTACGAGGACATCTTCCCAGGCAGCATGAACTAAATAACCTTTTTCATCTCTTATCATTGGCTGGGTCAGTCTCTGGCGCTTCAGCCCATCATAAGCAAATCTATTTCAACATAAAGCATTTGTCAATGTTTAGAAGAAAGAGCCAACCTACTATTATAGATGCCCATCTAATGTTTACATAAACAAGCATTTCAGAAGATATCATTTGTTCAAATTATAAAACAAAAAGAGGATTCTGATAAAGGATGAATGACAGTTGAGAGCTGTTGTACCTTGTTTTGTCAGAGATCCATTCTTCATTGATATCTTCATTCATTTTTGGCAAGATTCTCATCACCTCTCCTCCTCTTGTACTAACCACAATATTACTACCCAGAGCATCCAGAACATCAACAGACTCTGTCTTCCTGAATATAAACACAATGTAAAACAGATCATTTTACAGAATACACACAAAACCTTGGTTAACAGATGGCATGGGCTTGCATGGAGGTGGATACGGGTCAGCATGGGCACCTTGACTGGTATGCAGCCACACAGCCCCATATACACACACACTCTACTAGAGCTCTGAAGGCATGATGTGGTATCTGGCACTAAACCGTCAGTAGCAGATCCTTTAAGTCCTGTAGGTTGTGAGGTGGGGTCTCCATAGATCGGACTTGTTCCAGCACATCCTATAGATGCTCAAATGGATTGAGATCTGGAAAATTTGGAGGCCAAGTCAACACCTTGAACTTGTGTCCCTCAATCCATTCTTGAACCATTTCACTGTCATCAGGGAATACCATTTCCACTAAGGGGTGTACTTGGTAAACAACCATGTTTAGGTAGTTGGTACATGTCAAAGTAACAAAGTAGCAGACTGCTGCCACTGGCTTTCCTTCTACCCATGGTACATCCAGGTGTCATCTCTTTCCCAGGTCAGTGACACACACGCACCCAGACATTCGCATGAGGTAAAGAAAAAAACGTTCTAGGCTACCTTCTTCCATTGCTTTGAGGTCAAGTTCTTATACTCACATGCCCATTGTAGGAGCTTTTGGAGGTGGATATGGGTCAGCATGGGCACCCTGACTGGTATGCAGCCCCATATGCAAAAACTTCCAGGCACTATGTGTTCAGACATCTGTCCATCAGAAACCAGCATTAACTTTTTTTTTTAGCAATTTAAGCTTCAGTAGCTCTTCTATTTGATAGGACTGCACAGGTCAGCCTTTGCTTCCCATGTGCATCAATGAGCCTTGGCCACCCATGACCCTGTCACCGGTTCACTGTTTTTCCTTCCTTGGACCATTTTTGGTAGGTCCTGACCACTGCAGACCGGGAACATCCCACAAGAGCTGCAGTTTTGAAGTTGCCCTGACCCAGTTGTCTAGTCATCACAATTTGGTCCTTGTCAAAGTTTCTCAAATCCTTACTCTTGCCCACATTTTCTGTTTTGACAAATGACAAACAATATCTGCTGTGACATCATTAGGTGACCTCTTACTTTTATCTGCTTCCTTATTGTTCTGTGTTGTTGTGCTTTCTGAGCAATCTAGAGTCATATTTGCTATAACATGTTTTTTGGAAGCAGCCCTGGTCTCTGGTACTGGCAGTGATTCTTGTAATTGTGGTCGCTCCAAATTTTACAGCAATGTTCTTGCCCTCACCAGCATTAGGTATTCTATAATCAAGCATGGTGTGACCTGTTTGCTTCATCTCCCTATGCAGCCTGCCTAAGGGCTCATTTCCACCAGCCCTTGCGTGCACTATTTTTTGTAATCGTACCGAAGTGGAACGCAGGGCATTGTTTTACAACGCGGTCCTGTGCAGCTGATCGCACTGCAGGCAGGGTGTGTGTCTGCAGAGCCATTGACATAAATGGCACTGCCACGTGCACTCTAGCCCCGGAACGGAAGCAGACTTTGTGTACGCGATCCCTTGCGGTCCGGGCACGGTGCAAACGAGCCTTAAAAGGAGAACTATGGGGTTAAGGCTTTTCCCCATAGTTCTCCTTAGGGTAACGGGAGGACACAAACTAGCATCCTCCCGTCACCCTAGGCTCAGTATACCGCGAGCTGTAGCTCGCGGTATACTGAGATGCTGCAGCTGAAGCGGATCCGGACAATTATGTCTGCATACGCCCACTTAAAGTACCGCAGCGCTGAACACTGAAAAATGGCCTGGATGGGAAGGGGGTTTAACACCGCGGATGTCAACTGGTTAAAGTAGATGTTGGTAGAAGCAAGAGACTGGTTGTTACGTTCAAAAAAGTCTATTGGGCCAAAAATGCACTATGTAGCACCAAAAAAAAAAAAAAAAAGCATATGTACCTTTTTCCAAGTTATACAACAGTGCAATGCATAGGTGTGAACAGGCCCCATAGAGAATAATGGGATTCTCCATGTCATGCATTACCAAGTGACAAATCGCACAGATGTGAACGTGGACTTACTGACTGCTGCACACTTCAGGATCACAGGCTGGTCGCTAGTATGGACAAATCAAACAACAGCAATGTACAATTTGGGTCAAAATTAGACAGTAGTGATGCATCTCAAGCACATACCGTGTTTCCCAGGGCCGAGCAGTAAATGCATAAGGTTTGGAGGTTAAAGCACCCACAGGACACAGGTCTATTATGTTCCCAGACAGCTCAGACATGAACATTTTCTCTATGTAAGTGCCAACTTGCATTTCATTTCCTCTGCCAGTTGTTCCCAAGTCATCAACACCAGCAACTTCACTAGCAAACCTGGTATAACAACAACAACAAAAAAACAGATTATGTTTAGCTGTGCAGTTTCCTAACACTAAAAATAAACTGAAATCTAAAAGTGAACAAAAAAACCTTAGGAGCATCAGACAAAGATTCCTCCCTATGATGTTCACAAGTGACCTAAAATTTGATTAGCATCAAAAACTGATTAGGTGCCTATACATATAGAAATACAAATGTTCACATTGTGACCGAGAAGCTATAATTCTAAGTTTATGAGCACTAAAAAAAAAAAAAGTCAGTAGACAACAAACTTAATATTAACAGAGGAACTTTACCAATTTCTTCAAAATAACAACAAACACACTTTTAGAAATGTTCAGTAATGACAATCTACAATATTAATTTTTCTCTCCATTCTTGTCACAGTGGCATTTTTACTAAGGGCAGACAAATCCATCTCCGACTCCTTCCTGGACCTCTGGCACGTGAGTTGGACATGTGACCATGCACATCATCTCAGGGGAGGAAAATGTCTTTCCCTGAGATCTCATGACATTACAGATGAGATTTCCCAGCAACGCACTGCTGATGTAAACTTCCCAGGATGCAACACTTGGGCACAATTACATCACTTTTGCCAAAGAGAACCAGGAAGTAGAAACCAAGAAATTGTAAGCAAAATTAAAAAATATGTTAGTTTAACCTGATTGGCCGGGAAGCAAGTGACGAGGGAGCATGGAGCCCGCTTATCAGGAAGCCGAGGGGGGGGGGAGTCATTACCAGCCCCCCGACTTCCTGATTGGCCAGTAAGCCAGATCTATGCTCCCTGGTGAAGAGGGAGCATGGAGCCAGCTTCCCGGCCAATCAGGAAGCCGGGCAGCGTGTAACGGCTCACCGTCCAACTTCCTGATACCGGATTTTCTGGTATAGGGAGCATTAGGGTGTGCACGGATCGGTGCATCCCCAACAAAAAGGTTTCTGGTCTCTCAAAGGGGATCCAAGAGCAAGAGCCTTTGGATGGAGTTCCAAGCACCTGCTGCAGCCATTATGAGGGAGTACTATTAGTTCTGTTGGATTTATTCATTATACAGTGAATCTAACAGTGGGATTGGAAATATCTAAAATGTAAAAAGAAAACATCCAAAACCTCAAGGTGTTTGGGAATAAAGTCAGGAGTCATAGTAGATTAAACTCACCACACACAGTCCTAAACAGATAGGCCAGAAGTTGACCTTGACCACCTATAACTCGGTGGACTGACTCTTTAAGAGCACGCAAACAAAAATAAATCAAGTGTAACTTCTTTTAGAAGCATTTTTTAAGTTTTATCAATTTAGTGTACAAAGTACTCAGGAACAGTTACCTAATGCATCGAGTACACTGAATGCAGCGTGTCATTATAGTTTTGACCAATGGTCCGATATTCTTGTCCTCTACGGCACGTTTTCCCTCTGTAAACCTGCTTCTGTCACTTCCAAACATCATTGACTGATCCTGGAGGATGCAAGACAAGAAAACAGTAATTACATTTCCTTTCTCTCCCTCCTTGATATACATGTAAAAGAGATCAGCTTGATGTAAATAAAGTAATCAATGTCTTTCTAAACTCTGATTCAAAATGTAGTTTGTAAAACTCTCTGCATGGGGGGAGGGGGCACCATATTTGCTTTCTGCTTCTCTGTGCTACATAATGGTTCTGCTTTACTGTGCCTTCTCACAATGCAAGATTCTGAGTCAGCAGAGTAACTGAAACAATGCACTTTGCTGGTGGCTGATATCATATCTCAGCCAGGGCCGGATTTAGTCCCCCTGCCGCCCCAAGGCCAGGTTCCACAACACAATATTGTGGAACCTGGCCTTGGG